CGCCAACACTATAGTCATTATATTTTTCGCCTTAATTATCATTAACATTACAGAGTCGTTAAGATTTAAAAAATTACTTTATACAAATAGTCAGCAAGGCACTGCATTACATAATGCGGGCACCTTGATTTACTTGCAACAAAGATATTTACGAAATAAATTAAAATTATATTGCATTTACAATTTTAATTGTTTGAAGTTTTATGTTGTGTGGATTTGAAACTTTAAAACGCCAATTAAGTCACAGACAAGTCAAATCCACAAACTAAGTAAGTTCAAAATGAAGTGCTAATTCTGGAATGAAGATGTTTCATTATTTATATTTTATTCCTATGTATTTATAACAGTTTAAATAAGTTTAATATAACATTAAATTAATATTATTCATTGCTCTTATTGAAATTGAATACTTGTTATGTTGGCAGTCTATTGAGTCTATATATGACATGTACGATATGTAGTATGAAATTATTGTGTTATAGTACTTATATTAGTATAACATTTATATCAGTATAACATTTTATAACAAAATTTAATAGCAAATATTGCTTAAAAAGTTCTTTAATCCATTTTTTTAAATAAAAATTAAGCAATTCATTGTGTATATTTACTATAAGTAAAGGTCAACTATAATATTTGATTTAAATAATAAAGTAATTTTTAATCAAGTCAACCATTTTCGTACAAATGTATTTCAATTATATTGGTTGATCACAATTTATTTCGCGAAATGAGATTCTATTGTGCAATATTGCGTTGAACGAATTATATACTTGAAAGACAATATTTGCAAGCAATTTTATTAATTCAATATATTTGAATGATTTTTAATTCAAATATACATTTAACATGAACTATATAAATTGTTCAATATACACAAAAAAAATAAAAATAAAACGAATTGTATTTCTAAATGCATGTTCATGTTGAGTCTTTTTCGAGTTTGTGCATCTGGGCCCTTTAATTCTTTGATAGTTAAGGGGTTTCTGCAGATTCTGGATAGTGAAGTTGGCAGCTTTGCTAAATGCGACACACCCATAAAGTAGTGCTGGTCTGATTATCTGGCTTTTTGCTCTTCACGTAAAGGTTATTGTGTTTGAAAAGTGGTTGTAAGCAGTGCAGTGTTTTTGCGCGACTACTTCTTTTGACTTGTCTTTTGACGTGATTTCCAGGTGTTTGATGCTGTCCTCCCAATTAATCGCAACTCTCACTCTCGATGGATGCTGCCTGTGTTCACGATTTATACATAGGGCTTTAGTTTTCTTGTTGTTAGTTTTTATTTTTCATTTTATGAAAACAGCAACGTATTGGTTATATTTTAGGCATGTTTTTTAGAATATAACATGTACGTGTCATCTGCGTATGATGCTAGCACCGAAAGACCGAAGATGTAAAGATTTTGTACAACAAGGGGAAGAGCGGAACACCGGTTTCTAATCATCGGACTGATGAGATATGTTAGTACTGTTGATTTGTAGATCTTACACAGAAGCATATCTCGCACAGGAAGTAGAAAACATAAAAATATACTAAAAATATGGACTGCTCTTTTAGTTTAACCACTTAAATAAAAACTACAATAATTATACATACTTTAAAAAAAGAAAAGCAATATTACTGATTATAAGATTATTTCTTATAATATCACGTCCTGATGAAAAAATCATATGACTGAAAAGTTTGAAATTTTATATATGTAGTAAAAAACTATATAAATAAATACACACATAATTAAACAAATATTTTTATTAGGATAAAATAAAGCCTAAACTACAGAAAAAAAATTAAATGGATGAAATATTAGCATATGTACTATACATTTTATTTAATTTATTATCATCTGTTTCACAAATGTAATTTATATAATATTAATTTATTATTAATTTCTATGTGGAAATTTTATAGTAATACCTTTATTTAAAAATCTTTTTTTTTTGAACCTCCAAAGATTGAAATTCAAATTGAAAAAAACTTTTAAATAATAAGAAAAAATTTGTATAATTTTAAAAAGATTATATTAATTTTGAATGAATACTAAATTTAAATTTTTGAAAAACCAAATTATAATATTTTCAACTTTCATAATCTATGCTTCGTTTCACAAAATATCAGTTATAGGGATTTGGGACATTTTTTCCGTTTGCATTTTCGGGAAAAAATATTAATTTGTTTGACAGCACTGGCTAAAAAACATAAAAACCAATACCACTATGAAGTCTGGTTGAATGTTGAATAGTCTTTTTTTATAAATTTATAATCAAGCCAATTAACTTCTAAAGGATGTGGGTTCAAATATATGTAAATTTATAATAATATATTTAGTTGAATATACAATTAAGTTATATGAGAATACTATTATAACCATTCTTCTTTTCCACATAAGTTAATTCTTCTTCAGTTATTTCACCGGATTAATTATTCTTTGATATTTATTTTCACATAAATAGACCTATGCAAAAAATATTTTAAACTAATTAGCTTAACAACTGTAATTAATTAGATAATTCAAGAAATTTAAAATAAATATTGCGATTTGGTTCAAATCACCACAAGTCTTTGAATACTTTCACAAAAACCACACTAATCAATATGTCCAAATTACAAACCAAGATATGCAACACATATATTATTTAGATGTGATGTCTTGAAGTCAGGGACCCCAAAGTTTGTAATAATCTGAAAACTAATAACAAAATTGTTTGCCTCAGTAAATGGGGCAGCTAAGACAGCTGTACAAGTTGTGAGTCAATTTTCGAAGCAAAAGTGTTTTCATTGGTCACCTAATATAGAACAATATCATCAAAGCTAGAAATAAATATTCTCAACAAGTTAGTTATTTTTATGCCACGTTTAAAGAAAAACCTAGAGAAAATTAAAGCTAATACGAAAGCAGTAAGAAACAGTGTCGAATATTACTAATTTATTTATGTCCACACAAAGACGAAAGACCAGTAATGGCAACGACAAGTCTTCCTATTTTAATTGTGCTTATCAATCTGCTGTGGTTTCATCAATCGTTTGAATGTGATTTAAAAATTTGCAAACTTTGGAATTACGACCAGCTATTGTCTAGCTATCGAAAATTGTAACCTCCTATACTACATAGTAAAATATTAGTAAAATAATCTTAATAATGTTATTTTAAAATAACAATAATGATTAATAAACGATTAATTTTTTATTTTACAGATCCTCGTAAACGATATGAGAAAGAAGGTATACAATTAAACTATAATAGAGCTTAATATTTACAATAGAATCCAAAATTACGTTTTAGATAAGGAAACTTCGATGTTAAAACCATGAAAATACTCGCTTGGATAGCAATAAAAATTTTTTCTTGCTACTCTTTTTCGCAATCCTAAAAAAGCATTTGTAAAGTCTTGCCTAACTCCAAATTGAGTCCTTTTACAACCATAATAGTTCTAACGTCCTAGAAGAAATGTTCTCCCATTCAATCTTGCATAGCTGGTTGTTATCACTAATTTTTTGATTGACTGTTACCATCTAAACTTATTTTACTACCAGATTCCGTCGCAGGTTAACTCAAAAAATTGGGTATTATATTGAGTTAAGCGGAATTGGATTGATGAATTACAGAATTTGGTCTTCGTTAATTATATTAGAATATCATAGATCGATATTTGTATTCGTTTCCTCAGTCCATTACCACAGCATTTATATATTTGCCATTCCACATTTCCAACAGAATTGTGTTTGCTGATATTGATCATGATTAATCACACGTTCCTACAAATTCTACCTATTCATAGTCCTCGTTCAATTGCTGTTTTGCAACGTAGAGTTCTGTCAAATTATTAAATTTCTAAACTGTAAGCAGAATATATGTTGGTTAAACAATGGTAGTAGCATATGCTCTAGAGAAGTCTGTGGTTTAATTTAGTAATTATCTCAAATGTTTAAAATAAATTAAAATAGAATTGGAAAATGGATAATCACGAGTGTACTGAAAATATTCAAAATGTTGAACTTTACAATCTTCACAGTTGCATATTTAGTCTTGTTATTATAACACAACATTCTGTGAGTTTTTAAGCAATTGAGCGCAAATTAAAAGCAAATAACAGTGTTTAATGCTGGCGTAGTTTTAAAAATAAAATACATATATATGTATGTATGCATATAAATTCAAAAATAAAATCCTAAGACATTTCTAAAATATCTTCTAAGAATATAAAAATGACACCGGCGAAAAGAAATTATTGCCACCTTTTTTCTAAAAAATGCAATACCCCTAAAAGTTTTTATATGCTTAACTAAAACAATTGACACAATAAAGTGTGCAAAGAAAGAAAACGACCAAAAAACACATGCAATGAAAACTTGTATCTGTTTAAGCATTGACGTTGCTATTATGTTAATTTATCCAGTGACAAAAATCTTAACAAGACCAATTTTAAAATTATTTTATGGTTTAATTTTAAAAGATTTTTTTTTGGGAATTACAATTAGCGAAACGCAATTTTTTTGACAGCAAAATCATAATACTAGATTTATTACAATTAACTCACACAGTTGTACCTAAATTTTGCACTGAACACATCATATAACATTATCAAATAGAGTAAGTGGTTCAGGTATAGGATAAAGTTGTTAATGTCTACAATCAATTGATTATTAATAATATAATCAAAAGAAAATTATATGTTTCGCTGAAAATAAAAAATTAAAATTAGCAGCTCGAATATCTACTTTAGCAAAAAGTGATATTTCCATATATTATAACAAATAATAATAATTTTATATTTGCTGTAATTTAAAATACGTATTTTTCTGATATAATTATGTAAATCATTTTTATATTTCTGTTATTTTACAATTATCAAATATGCGAAATTTTAAAAGCAATACATTTTGATGCCTTTCATAAATTCGCGTATTGGCACAAAAGAATCATGTGGTTTTTGCTTTAGTACTTTTTGCAATGAGGTAACACTGAATATTTTCTAACTTTATTTGCTAGTGAAATAAAAAGAATTTTTGTTGTGATAAAATACGTTCTAATATTTACAAATCTTTATTGCAAATATAATAAAAATTAATAGTTTAACTCATATACATCCGTATAAGTTAAAATAAATATATTTAAATGTGAAAACTAAATTTTGATAAAAACAAAGAACACGGATGTGTCATCAAATCTTAAGCCCTGGTGGTAAACAATTTATTCCAGCATAAACCAAACGCTTGGACAATTAGTCAGCTTTAGTAAAATTAATTAAAAAACCACATTAAATCAGATTTTACTTTAATAAAACATAAAAATTAAAATTGACTATAGAGCGTAATAATTTTATGGACTATTTTTAGCAAATTTATTTGTTTAAGTGTTAAACATCAGATAAATATTTTAAATCAAGTGAAAAAAAATTTAATTTAATTTTTCTACAAGAAGTAATTTTAATTTTAAGTAAAAAGATAATTATTTTATAAAATTTTGGTTAGCGAAAATATTATTTTTTTTAATATTTCTTTCAACGAAGTTGTATTCCCAAAACTATAATTACAATCATTTATGTTACCATTTTATTGCGAATTATAAGTACATACGTTGTAAATAATAAACGCCTGTTTTATTTGCTGAATTCTACTTAGTTTTTGCAAGTTTCACTGGATACGTCTACAGTTAGCATTAATAATTAAACATGAAAAAGTTATATTATTTATGAGTTTAATGTAATGTAGTGGATTACATGTATCTTTAAATAAAAGCCATATCAAAAATTTCAAACATTTTGCTGTAAAATATATATATATTTATATGTTTCTATATTGCTCAATTAAATAAACAATTGTTCGTATTCTTTATATATTCGATGCTGAAAACAGAAGCTATTATAATTTCACAGTAGCTGCCAGTTTAAAATATTTTTTTATCGAAGTACTGATATGAAAATTAATATCAGTGATGCAATATGACCTTACTAATAAAGCCTCTTTGTCCGAAGTCAATAACTCCTCAAATAAGCGTAATAAGAAGGTTAAATATATTGAAGTCTAACTAATTTCTGGACTAAAGTGATTACAAAATTTTTAACATGTTGAACTAGGTTGGGAGTCTTCAATTTTATCTTGACATATTTCATATAGGATATACAAATGTATATTTAAGTGGTAAATAATTTTGGATATATATCATCTAAATGAATCTTACTACTTCTTAAAAGTTATAACATTTTTGAATGCATAGTAAAATTATCAATATAAAGAATATAAGAAGTAATTTATATATTTCATATATATATATATATATATATCATTTTCTACATATAACATTTTAATCTGTACGTTGAGGAACCCATTTTTTGTGAAACTATATGTAAATTACATTGTAAATGTAATTAATAAATATTATGAATAGTAGTTTATGTTAATTGCTTGTATTTATTTTCAGCTCAAGTTAGGTAACTGCATTGATTTATTATTTACATGACTATATGTTTGGAGTAAATATCAGAAACATGGAGTACGCTGACGCCTTGTTGGAAGAAAAAAAATTAATGACAGAAGCGAAGTACCGCAACTACATGACGAACATTGACAAAGCATTGCGGAATTTTGAATATTCGAGTGAATGGGCAGATCTTATATCAGCTTTAGGAAAGCTCAGCAAGGTAATATGATGGAAAATATATTCATTATTATATGCCCATTAATATTGTAAACAATATGCTATGTGCCTCCAAATTCTTGGTAAGCCGTACTAAATTTTTATTAAATAAAAATATTTGAATTTATTATTGATTCAATTTTTTAATGCCTACTGCAGTTTCGTTATTGCGCATTTATATTGCAAAAATATTGATTAAATAAAAAAGAAACATATGTTAGTAATAACATTTGTGTAAGCTGCTTAAGAGACAGCTTCATTACAAACATATGACATATAAAATTGAATAATGAATCTTTAATCATCATTCCTTATAAATATAATTTTGAAGAACATATTTTATTTATTTTCTTATCTTTTGTTATTTAGGCTATCTCGAGCAATACCCAATATCAGATTATTCCCCGTCGCATTAAAATTTCGAAACGTTTAGCACAATGCATGCACCCGGCACTACCATCTGGTGTGCACTTAAAAGCTTTAGAAACATATGCAGTAATATTTAGCAAAACAGGTCCCGAACGATTGGCTACAGAACTCTTCATTTACAGGTTAAACAAATAAATTGTATTATTGAATATATTAAAGTAACTATGTTTTATGTTTTTAGTGCTGGTCTCTTTCCATTATTAGGTTATGCTGCTATGAATGTTCGGCCTACTTTATTGGGTATTTATGAAACCTACTTTGTACCATTAGGTGAAAAATTGAGACCTGCTTTAAGTGGGTTCCTAAGCGGTGTTTTGCCTGGATACGAATGTGGTTTAGACCACTTCGATCGTACTAACTCTTTATTGACTCAAGTTTGCTCTGCTGTTAATCCGACGCACTTTTACACTGTGCTTTGGGAGTGCGTCGCCACAAATGCTTCGATTCGCCTACCTGCCATTTCTTTTTTATTGGATCATTTTAATAAACGACTTGGAATGCAAGAACAAGTATTTATAATGGGACAAAATAGGGAACTAATGATGATTGGACTATGTGCATGCCTTAATGATTCTGTCATACTTGTACAACGTAATTCATTGGAATTTCTTTTACTTGGTTTTCCAATGCATACAATTTACTTAACTCAAGCAGATCTAATTAAATTAGTTACAAATGGATTAAATACAATATTACGTAGAGATATGTCTTTAAATCGAAGACTTTATTCCTGGCTTTTAGGAACTGAAATATCGAAAAATTCTCCAACGTATGACACAGTATCATCTGATGGTACTACAGAAATTAGTGAATCGTATTTTGAAAAATATTCTAAACAAATTGTTATTCAATCTGTGATATGTACACTTAAATATAGTTTGGAGACAACACCTGTTGATTTAAAACCTTATCGGATTATGGTTTCATTATTGGATAAAATGGAAATTGGTAGTGCTGTACTGGATTATGTTTTGTGTGACATTATACGAACTATGTCGATTTCTAGTGGAAATATTGAAGTAGTAAAATCTGCAAATTTATTATTTGCTACTTTCGATCCAGTATATATATGGAGCTTTATGACGAGCATGTATCAAAAATCATGCAAAAAGGTAATATTTACTTAACAAATAGAGAGTGGTAAATGGTAAATATATAAACTGGTTAGCCATTATAAGTTTTTGACAACTCCACTTTTTTTAATTAAAATTAACGAATTTATTTTTTTTTAGGAAAACAAATCATCTAATCTTCCTAAACAAACATTGCATTTTAATGATGACAAATTTCAATGTGAAGTTGGTTCTGGTGATCCTGGTCTTATAGAAATCTGCTATCTGACAGAATTTTTATTGGAAACAATTTCATTAGAAATGTACAATGAAACGACTCGTTTATATTTACCAAAAGTATTTTTGGCAATAACTCAACTTTTGACAATTCACTTAGAAAACATAAGTACTGAAGAAATATCTGCATCACTCAAACTTTGTATGAAAATTGTATCAAGAGTGCAACCCATGATTACGTAAGTTTTAATATAGCCAACCAATATTATATATTATTAATTCTAATTTGTCAATGATATGTAGAAGTCCAGTTAAAGTTGTTAGTCGTCAAAGCCAGGGTTATCTCTCATCCGATGAAAAAGATAGCACACACTCCCTAAAAACAGGACAATTAAATGTATTAGAAAAAAGTAAATCTGATTCAAAACTTAATCAATTTGATACTGGTGTAACTGACAATTTACACAAGTCAAAAAGTCTATTTAATGAAGGACCTATAGGAATACTACAGTCGAATCAAAATGCGGAACCACGGAGCCCAAAAAAGAAAAAATCAAAATCTTTTTCAAAATTATCCGAGCTGGACAAAGAGGTATTTAAAAGAAAATATATAATTCTTCAAAAGCATATGAATCATTACTGTTATTTTTAAGATATGCCCTGACACTGGTCAAGTCATAGATCCACCATCATCATCTGATCTCGATACACCACGCAGTATTAAGAAGTTGAAAACAAAGATAAAAACAAAAAATCAATTGAGTCCAAAAAAAGGAAGGCCGGTAGATATTTCAATTTATGAACCAAAATCTTTAGACCTCGACATGATAAAAAAAGCTGATGAAGTTTCTGAAGTTGATGAGCTAAATAATAGTACAAAATTAGATAATATAAATTTAGAAAAAAATGGCGACGTATCATTTGACTTTGAAAATTTCAATACGGAAAACGCAAATGAATTTTCTATTTTAGAAAAATGCATCAGACAATATGAAATTTTTTTTGAAATATTTTTATCACGGCAAATTTTACAATTAAACCAAAATTTCACTGCTAATACTGATAACTGCAACGTCACAGTTGAACTCGTTGACGAAAACTTATATAACGTTGACATATTTAAAAATGATAAAATATATGAGGACTTCAATTCAGATCGTTCGTCGGAAATTGATAAACTCTTTAAAACCTTACTAATAAAAAAAGTTAGTAGAATATCTGAACTAGAAAACTTATTAACACAATCATTAACTATAAATCCAAATGGTTTGTCTGACAAAATTGATCAGGATATCATTAGAAATTGTGAATTAAATGAATACGCAGAAAGGCAGGTTCAAATGCTCATCGACTTGCATCTTACGAGTGTTATACGAAATGCAACAAAATTAGCAGCCAATTTGTTAGTAGAAATGTCAACTTTCCCGAACTGCAGAAGGAGCATTTTAATGGATAAAAGTCGTAAGTTTCCGATATACATACATATATATATAATAGTTCAAGAATGAATATAAATAGTTTTATTAAAACTTTTATTAATTCTCTAGAAATAGATATTCCGAGTTGGCTTAAAGTGTTGTGTCTCGTTTCCTGCTACGCTCTAAATGATATCGAGTTACAGTTAACTGCCATCACAACATTATTTGACTTAATAAGGTATTTCTACAATAGAATTTCATAAATTGCTTTAATTTATTCATTGTCGTTTTTAGTCTTTTAAAATCACAAACCGAACATAGCACAAGTCCAGGTGTTACTTTTGTTATAATGTTGCCGTTGCTAAAGTTTGGTCATGTGAGCTATATAGAGTGCAGAACTCGAGTATTTCAGCTTATAACATCAATACTGTGGAATTGTCTTGGAGAACCAAATGTAGATCCTGCACAAATTTCTGCTCTATTACATCAATTACATAATTGTCTAGAAAGCGGTTTAGTTGAAAAAATAATTGGTGATAGAATGTATGCTCATAATATGCAACAACAGTTTGCGGCTGCTGATGCTCTTATGACAAAAAACAATAGTTCAATTATAGAACAAAAGGCTTTTAGAAATTATCAAGTGGATCGTGCTGCTGATATTCAACTTATTTGTGCATCTCCCTTATATAAGCAATGTGTAGTTCATCAACTCAAGGAAAGTGAATCGAAAGGCTTAAAGAAATTCGAACTTCTTTGGCATTTGGGTCGAGAGAAAAATACAGCGAGAGGTTTTGAGAAAACGTTATTAAAGGTTTTAGATACATTAAGCTTACCATATTATATGCCCGTACGAACGTTTACCACAAAATGGTTACAATCTGCACTTCTACGAGGCGACTTGTCAAGGCTTATTAAACCATTATACAAAATATTACTTTCCCCAAATTCAAAACGCATCGGATTAGTTCAACTACAACTTATCCAATCCAATGCTGTTGATGATATGACGACAAATACTGTACAAAATAATATTTGTGATGTAGATAATGTTACAGATAAAGAAGTTTATGCTATCAGCTCAGAATATGGGAATATAAAATATCACATGGATGTAACAAGTAATAAAAAGAGAAGCCCAATACGAAGTTTTCATAAAAAAATTTTTGGCGTTACATTAGGTAACAAAAACAAAACTTCTAATTTTGTTAGTGATAAGGTATCATCACCAACAGTTTCAGCAGATATACAAGATACAAATATTGGATTAATAATAAATCCATTAGATAACTCACCTGATTTTGATGATGACCCTAAAACTGAAGAACATGACTTTAATATAAATTTAAGCGAAGATACAAAAATAAGTACACCTATGTCTCAAAATGATTTAAAAAATAAAAATAGTGGAAAAGATGGGGAGGAATCTATGTATCAGAATTACGTGAATGACTACACCGATAACTCCGATAGTAGTGTTTTTGATTATGAATCAGAAAATCGTGAAACAAGTGTTGAAAAAGATGAGAGTATAAATGATAATTCAAATGAAATTGTTAATAACAATCTTAAAAGATTTGTAGGTGACTGTGAGCGTGTTACAGAAATACTATCGCAACATGAACGCACTAAAAATCGAAAAACATATCGTTTAACGCGTGAAAAAACTCCAGGAGACTCTAGCATAGCTTCAACAACAGATGAACAATCATCCCTAGGTGGTGGTCTACAATCAGTTAATACGGAAGAAGATGCCGCTCATCCTGCAGATGAATATTTCAATAAAGAAAAAAACTTAGATTGTGATGATAACATTTCCAAAGCATCAAAAGAACACACATCACATATTGAAATTAGTGCAATACGAAAATCAATTTCGAAAACTGTAAGCAAAAAGCAAAGAAGAAAAAAAGATCATAAATCAACTTCAAAAAAAGCAATCTCACCCAACGAAAAAAAACGCATGAGTTGCATTTCAAAAACCTCAACAGATAGTAACAATAGTTATGCCGGAATCCAAGGTTCAAAAAGTATAAGTGAAGAAGGAATAGTTACGTCTGTTCATAGCGATGAAGAAATAATTGTTTCTCAATCTACTGGTACGGTTGACACTATTTGTACAATTCATGTGGAGGAAAAACGAAGAAGCCTAAGTTTTGAAATTAACAAAACGAAAACTGAATGGGATATTACTCCAGAGACTATTGAGAAGAGTAAACAAAATCTTCAAATACTGCGCCGTAATGTTGCAAGCAGTGATGGTAGTGGAAGCAAGCGAGCGTCAACAAAAAGCGCTGCTTCAATTAAAAGTGATATAGGAAATCTACAAGCTAATAAATTACAATTCTTTCACAATCATATGCTTATATATTTAGGAATATATGACACAAAGCAAATTCTTTATGCTTTTCAAACTATACGAAATATAATTGCATGTGACACCCGTACCTTTCTTTGTCTCTCAATTACAACTTCATTTGCTAGCAATTCCTTAAAACAATTGTTAATACGGCATCGTAAAAGCATTGCAGGAAAAGGATTTTTAGGTAACATTACAAACTCAGAATTTTCTCAAAGTTATCGAGGTTGCATGCATTTAGAAGTGTTGGTCACGATGTGTTTGTACTATGCACGAGGTTTTTTTCATCCCGACTGCGGTGAGAATACAAATGAAAAGCCTACCTACGATGATATATTAGGAAACTGCCGGGTGCAGTTGGAGAGTGTAGAACTTTTGACATTGATATGTATTGAGTTAATGGAAATTGTGAAAAGTATGGGAAAGGGTCTGGCTTGTTATATAGCCGATTTAATGGCACGATGCAAGTTACAAAAAGTAATTTTACATTGCTTAAATTCCTCTGTAAATTCATTCGGACAACATTGTAAAACTGAAACTTTTGCTGAGCAAACAATAAACTATAATAATCCTGAAGATGAATATCTAAATGCGGAATCATTTCAAGTTCAACTTCTACGTTTAATGATGGCTGTTATAAAACTAGAATTTGAAGTTGCTGTATTAAAAAATGAATCATTGCAAAATGGAACAAGCTCTAAAGAAGAAAGTGGAAATATATCTCCAACACAGCTTTCAAGTATTATATCAGATACATCTGCAACAGCCTGCAAATATTTACCTAACTCTCTCATAAATCAGCAACCGATGTTTCTTGCTGCGGTTTTAAATGCTTTGCAAAATAATCATATGCGACATTTGCATAGAAATTGGACCGATCTTATAACATCATCTTTAAACTGCTTTAGTTTTGGTTCTCTCACAAACATTGTAATAAGTGTTTTGCATCAATTGTGTAACAATTTAGACCACATTAGCAAAGTGCCACTTAAAGAGCAATGTGGATTTCCACCTGATTATGTGGTATCGCAATTAGAAGCTATCACAATTCTATGCCATTATTGTTTGCTTGATAATACCCAGCAAACTACTTTATCACATCTCTTTAACCAGGCATATCCGCAGACAAGTGTAGTATCACAGAATTTCAATACTGGGCAATTAATCAACAACATCGTGCATTCGTTCCTTTCTAGTGCTGTCGCTACTTCTCAAACAGAATCGCAGGCTCCTAGAAATCCACAATTGTTAGCTGCTCGTAATGCGGTTTTATCACATTTGTCTAGAATTGTTGCTAGTGTAGCAGCCATATGGGATAGTGAGCTAGGACAAGTGCGGCAGGTTAAACAGCAATTAATGGAATTTTTATCACCCGTATCTTTGCATCACGGAGCAAATTTCTTGGCCGCAGTTGCAGTTACATGGCAGGAGAGAGGGGAACAGCATCATAAAAAAAATGTTAACTCTTCTCTTAGCATAGCTGAACAGTATATATATAATTCAACACCACAAGCCTGTCCAGAGCAGCTTAGTCTGGTAACATTAGTTTCAAGCATAAGAGTGATGCCGATGGACTCATTTGTCCAAACTTTACATCAAGTTGTAAAATCGCCACCTTCGATTCACCGCCCACCTGCATATTTAACTTTGGAGGTACAATATTTCTTGTAACTGAAATAATGTATTTTTTGATTATGGTTTTCATTTATTTATAGGTTAGTGCGCTGGAATTATTTTACTTCTATATGAAATCGGCTCCCGCACCACAGTTACGTGACTCTTGGAGTTCTTTACTATTACTATTACGCGATAGCCTAAGCCTTATGCCACCAGCACAATTTGCTTTGTTAATGCTACTTAATGAATTTGTTCAGAGATGTCCACAAATGCCATTCCTTGACAAAAAAGATATTCGAGATTTGCATGATATCACTTCTCGTTTGGTAGATTCACTCTCAAACATAGCTGGATCATGTCTTGAACAAACGACTTGGTTACGTCGCAATTTAGCAGTCAAAGAAGATATTTCAACACTTACAACTGAAGGTTATAGCAAAGATACTAGCTTAAATGGTCAGCAACAGTATTCTGTACAGGCTCAGAGTGTGCTTGCTGCTTCATTAGCAAATCTTCTTGATGTAGCATATGGCTCACAAGAAAAAGATAAAGTTGTCGCAATTATTACAACTTTACTTTATAATATCACACCTTATTTGAAGAATCATACCACGCGCAACATTCCTTCGTTTTATGCTTGTTCTAGTCTGCTAGCCAGTTTGAGTGGCTATCAATATACTCGAAAAGCTTGGCGTAAAGACATGCTAGATCTTCTGTTGGACAATGCATTCTTTCAAATGGATATTTCGTGTTTACCCTTTTGGAAACAAATAATGGATAGTCTTATGACGTACGATAATACTACTTTCCGTGAACTTATGAGCCGTGTCTCGTTGACACAAACAGGAAGTTTGAATATATTTACTTCACGTGAACAGGAATATGAACAACGAGCTATGCTTCTTAAAAGATTAGCATTTGTTATATTCTGCAGTGAATTTGATCAATATAATAAATATATGCCTGAAATTCAAGGTACCGTACTTTTTTTTTTTTAATTTGGTATTAAAATAAATTTGGGATGAGTTAAAAAAGCAGAGCAAGTTATTTATTGCAAAATTAAAATATTGCTGAATTTATAAATATCAAATTATGCAAAAAGCAAGTGTTGAATTTTATTTCAAGTGTAAGATCAGATATAATATTAAAAATTTGTTTATACTTATAAAAGACGTTAACTGAAATTGCATTTTTCCCATAGAACAATTAGCGAACAGCTTGCGTTTATTGTCAATGATACCTTCAGTACAGGCAGCTGTGTTCCTATGCTTTCGAGTACTACTTCTCCGTATGTCACCAGATCATGTTACTTCATTGTGGCCTATAATAATAGCCGAAATGGTACAAGTCTTTTTGTCTATGGAACAAGAACTAAAGACGGATTGCGAAGATTTAAGGTATGGCCATTATAGAAATATAATAATTACAAATATTTGTAGTTATAATAAAATCAAAATAAAATAATTGTGATTATATATTAAATTGAATTTATATCTAATTTAAAGTCAGCAGATGCGCCTGCTATCTGGTATGGATGCTTCGTGGTCACCAAACTCTTCTAGTAATGGTATAAATACACAAAGCAGTATGGTAAGCTGGCGGTTGGTACAATTAGAGGCATCAAAGTTACTTGAATTAGGCTGTGTGTTACCAGCTAAAAATTTGCCGCACTTTCAAATGTATCGTTGGGCTTTTGTTGGTACAGAGTTTGATGCACATGAGGAGATATCTATTTTAAATGGTAACATCGAACATGCAACAGCGATGCTATCCACATCACTTTATGTACCTCATATACGACGAATTGCACGACTAATGGATATGAAATATGCAAACAGTTCACCGGTAAGTGATAATTGCTCAAAAAAATAAATTTAAAAACAATATTTTATGTATATATATATGTACATATACATGTTTGTTTTTTCAGATTGAACAACATCGTCAACATTTGGTGCTGCATTGTCAACAAATTAGTACTCTTCAAGATTTGCATAATTTTTTCAACGTATTAAGTGTCACTTGTCCTAATTCTCACAATTATGCAAATACAGAAAAAGAAGTAGCAAATTGCATGTTAGAAATAGAAGAAGTTTTATCTAGGGATTTCCTCGAAAAAATGGTACCAAACACAACACCCAGGTGAAAAATGGAACATAATCAAAAAATTAATGCGGATGATATTGCTGCGTCTTCAAAAAATAATATTAATATGCTTTCTAAAAATATAAGCTCTATAAAATGTGATCCTATACTTTCAACAAAAAACAATGATATTCGTTTTTTGTTAAATTACTTTGTAAATAATATGTGTTATTTGTTGATTTACTAATAGTGCTAGTTAATTTTAAGCTCGCCTTGTATATTACTTGTTATTCTATATCCGATTGTAAAGCCAAAACCTATTTTCAGTTATAATAAATATATGTTCTTTTAATATAACTGTACGTAAGTTTTTTTAAGACGTATATTATATTTAGTTATACTTAAAAATGATGTGCATTGCTTTTTAATACTTATCCAAAATATAACAGTCCAACAGTGAACGCAGTGTCAAGGACAATTAAAGCTCCAGCTTTTATAACTATAAAATAATAATTATTGATCTTTAATGCTTACTTATGCTAACATGATAAATTCTACAGCAATCTCTATTGGAGACACTTAATATTGATTATCAGATTTGTTTTAATTGTCAATTGTTATCTGCTATTGTAGATATATTATGTCTAATAATACGTTTGAGAGATGATTTTTATCTGTGATATATTGTAAAACGCATGTGTAAAACAGATGAGTAATGGCATTCATTGTTAGCTTAATGACCATACAATTTCGCACAATCTTAGTGTGATTCGGAACAATGTGAAATAATCGATACAGCGGTATTTATCTTGCAATTGTTTCTATGCTTGCAATTTATTCGCCCTCCGAATATTTATTTATTTGACGGGATGATTATTATATACTTAAAGTTTCCTACCTTACCATTAAAAAGAAAATAAATATAAATAAGAAATAATATTTTTTACCAAAAACAGATCAGCTTTCATAATTTTTGAAAGTACTGTATTTTTAGCTAAAATTTGGCTAATTAGCTAAAACGTTTCGCAGAGTTGACTAGTTGATTTTTGTCTACTACCACATTCAGATTGGTGGAATATTAGGATGCGGTTTCTGCATTAAGCCGCCATAGACGTTTCTAAGGACTGCCAAGTGGAGACCATCTTTTTAGAAAAAGTAATTACTAGGAATAAGTATCACTTAGAAATCCAAATTTATAAGGATCCTTTAAGCTGTATATTAATAAGTAAATATGTTATTTACATAAACTTAGTTTTTGTTTGTCTTTGTTACTTTAGAACTTTGATATCTACTTTTTATCTTTTCTGTATTATATTAAAATTCGCTAATATTAAAATAAAATCTGATGTTAGTGAATCATGACTAGCTCAATTATTATTATTTATTCATAATATTTTATATGAATGTAATCGGTTTGTTTAACACAAGTATTCTATTCAAATTAATTGAAGTGCGATTTAAGTGACTTATACAATAAAAAAAATTAAAATGCGCAGACGATCCAGTTTCAGAGATAGACTTTAAAGCATTAATACCTTCACATTCTGTCATGACTTTCTGTCGGTTAGACGAATGCATAAAAAAGCAATTTTAAAAATAAATGACCTTATAAGAATAGATAAATATCTTCAACCGACTACCGTTGGTAATCATCTTCTTATTTTTTTTATTCTTGTCTGAAAATCAAAATACCCATATTTGGAAATTTGTCATTGTAAAAGAAGCAGGAAGTCCATATTAGAATAATAACATACGCCGAAAAGTTTGAAACCTCATCGGCTGTATATTGAACATTATACACATCCAGACGTAAAAATTGCAACAGGCAAAATGAATGGATATAATTGGGCAATAAAGGATACATCTGGTGCAAATCCATGTTTTTAGGTTTGTTGAATCTTGAACGTTTTTTCAAGTCTCAGCTAGTCGCCATTTAATTTTTAATTTCAGAAAGGTAAGTAGTAATTCATAGTAAAACTACCGTAAATATTCAGCTTCGGTATAAACAAGAAGGTCGGCATTCTTCTCAATTTTTTGTGAAAAATCACTTTCGAAAATTTGTGACAAATACATTTTAAGTATGGACATGAGAATAATTTTTCTTTGCCTATTTTAACATGAATATCTGCCACATCATTGAGAGGAAATTTATCACATATTATCTTTTAAGTGTCTTGTGTCATCAAGAGCCTGTTCTAATACTTATTATAAAACTATGTAGTCCTGTAATATTATTTATATTTTGTTATGTTTTTACTATTTACTATGACTCTTTATATAGTGAAGACATTTTCTGTGCCAAAATTATTTTAATATAATGGTTCATCATTTGCAAGAAAAATGTATTGAAATTTTTATATTAAAGGAATAAGTATTAATAATCCAATGTTCTTTTAGCCCTGCCTAGTATTTTCCTAATCCGATCTTTCTCCTTATTTAGTTTCTTTTTGTATCTAAAATAGGGAAGCAAAGATTCAACTAAGATCATTGCGTCATTAATGTTGATTTTCGACTATGTAACTACATTATTTTGATACCGGTTTTTAAAACTCTTAAATTTTAAATACCTTTAGATATATGTATGCTCTTGCCTTGTCCATTTTTTATTACTATAACTTCTTAATTAAAATGAGTGTCTATTAGTAAAGTGTTTTTAGTCTATACTTAAGTGTAATTCATTTGCTTACTATAGGAATAATTGTCTATTACATGTCTTTAAAGATAATTAGAGGAAATGTTTGGCAGTCTATTGTAATTATTGTGATTTGCCTAATATTGACTATATTGGTGAGTTGCTCAGATGGATAAATTTATCAGAAGCCTTTAAGAATCATTGTACAAATATATCCAATTGGCTTTACAAAAGGACCGAAGATAATATAATATTAACTAGATATTACGGTACAAACCTTGTTCAAATAAGCCTTGTTCAAATAATTAGGTTAGGTTAGGTTATAACGGCGATCCCTACTGGATCTACTTAGGCCTATTCGTCCATTGATTCAATTAGTTAAAACAATAAAAATAGTATGAAGATTTTGATTTTTCGGATACTGGAATTTTATAATGAATTTTGGTAAACTTCAATATATTTTTTTTCCTTTCCCACTACGCTTTATAGTTATAATATAGTTTAATTCTCAATATATCAGAATTTGTAATTGTGAATTCTTATATTGATTGATAACGACTATCGTATGAAGTTTTAAAATTGACTGCACAAACGAAGATTGATAACTAGACAGAATCAGGTAGTTCGGTAGATGACATGTCCATAATAATTAATTCACACCGCAAATGTTAATGGCGAAGTTACAATGTAACATTGTTACATTGCATTGAATCGGTCCAAAAATTCACACGACCTTATTTTCTGATAGAAACCGGAATCTTATGTTTGAAAAAAACATGCCAATGAAGTATATAATTTCATCGAAATTGTAGAAGTACTGTGTAATCTAACATTTGTAAAACAGCAAAAATTCACATGAATTGTTAATAAAGACAATCTTGTGCCGTGTGAATAGACTAAACTGTTAACTTAGACGAATTCATTGAGTAATAAAACAATGTTCGGCAAATGTATAAATGTTGACGCATTCTCGTCAAACTCATCCTGGTAGAATACATTAAATAATCAAAAGTAAGTCCTGATACAACTATATTCCACAAATGAGTCCAAGCGTTAGTATATGCAGATCACATAAAAGAAATGAATGAATACTTTATTTATTTTTAAAATAAAGTTAAATTATATGTAGAATAAATGCTATTATATTGTATATAATAATAATAATAACAAACTTCAAATAAAATTAAAACAACAAAAGTTATATTGTAAATTAATTTATTTATAAAAAATACATTACAATTTTTTTTTAAATTTTGTTAATATTTATGTTTAAATTATTTGTGTGTATACAATATTTTTATTGATATGTTATTTTGAGAATTTGTAAAATAATCTGATAAATATATAAACCCTATAAAATATATAGGGTTTACATAGTTTTATTTAATAAACAATTAAGTATACAATTTTCAAAAACTTAAGTTAAATTAGAAAGCGTAAATTATACGTACTCTTATATGTACTTGCAACCACTAAACTACAACGGAGTGCTGCGGGTTTGATTGCTTATTTCTCAGTTCATGATAGTAGGAGTACACGAGGTGGGTACAGTACGCAAAGATAACTGAAACGTAGAATCAGAAAGCCATGTTATTATGCGAATATTCTATATATGTTATTATTAAAATACAAAAATTATTATAATTAAGTTATGGAATTAAAATAAAAATCAATATTCATAAAATGTTATATAGTTAGTAAGTCACTTAGTTTATTTGCAAATAATTTTTAATAATTTTTTACGAAAATTATCTTTTCTTTTGTTTAAATTTCAACCTAGACTTAAATGTCGTCAACTCTACCAAATTTTCTTATTAATACAAATAAGAACAATCAGTTGTAGTTACACTTTTACTTGAGGAAGAAGTCAGATAAACTTTGAAACGTTGATGATTTTTATATAGATAATAACTAAAACAAATTTTTATAAAAAAGTTTTAACAACATAAAAAATGTATAAAGTCAAGTTTAGTAAAAGTTCATTGTTTATTTTCATTTTTGACTATTTCTGCCTAAAACTCAATAACACAATGCTCTTTAAATATTGATGTATAATTATTTCCATATTAAAATAAAAACCCTTTTTTATAGTTCTACGATATTTTACTGTGGGTTCCTGTTCTCAAAAAACCAGTACATATATGAATATAGAATTTTAATTGTTTGTATAGGTAAAGCCTTATGTTTTGAAAATAAATCAGGCATGAGAAACCTGCATGAAGACTTTATCCTTACTGGATCTAACATCCGTATGAAAGATGGGAGCCCTTGAGATGATACAACGCTTATAAATTTTTATAGTCTGTGAAACGTAAAATATGATTAAGGAATCTTAATTTTTTTTCTTATGATATTCCATTGAATGGTCTCAAAAGTGTCAATAATAACATAATAAGAATTTAGTGGAAAACAGATTTCATTTTCAGAAATGAAAATCTCAATGCTAAGAACAGGAAGCTGATATATAACCAAATAATTAGTCCGTTACTTCTATATAGTTTTGTAGCGTTTAGCAAAGCTTTAAACACTACTATTCGCCAGCTAGTAATTAAAGTCAGGCTTTGAGAAGACTTTTCAAAGTACCATGGTACATTAGGACGAATGACAGCCTCAGGGACCTCAAGATTGATACGATCAAAAAATACATAAAGGATAGAGCTCTGAAATTATTTGCGAAAACTGACAGACTTACCAACACCACGTTATCAAATCTCAGGTTTCTCAGGGAGGTATGCAGATCTGAGGTCAATTATTGCCTAGTCTGATAAAGTGATAAACAATAATCCAGTCAAGGCGTAAAAAGGGCTTTTGAAAATACCTCGAGTTAAGAAAGAGTAAAAGTGCTCAAGTGCACTGGCTCAAAGAGCTTCAACATAATAATAAAATCAAATTTCAAATATTTTTAATTCAAGTGAAGTAGTGAGATATTTTAAATTAATTCAATAGAAGTTGAAGTACTTAATGATACTGTATTGTGATTACATTTGTGTATACCGTTTATATCTGATATTCCAGCTCCTGAAAATGTATAAGTTGCTACCTATGCAGATAATTTTGCCATTACAAACTTAAATGTCTTAAAAAAAGGAACGTTAAAATTAAATTCACTAAATGTACTCACATAATGTTTTTTTAAATTTGAATATAACGACATACTTGGATCGCAAGTTGGAATATCATTTTAAATCTAAAATTAAGTATTTAAAAATAAAAAAAAAATATGTTGATTTTGGTGGGTTAAAATCTAAATTAGGTATAGTATGATAGTATTGGAAATAAATATAACCCTGCGGCGAAACCTAACTTCAAGTGGTGGAATAATTTGAAAAGGTATTTGCAATTTAATGCAAAATTTTGCAGAAATCCATATTTGATCTTAAATGATCCAACATTCAGAAAAGATTACCTTAATTGCTTCAGATATGATGAACATGTGATATAGATTAATTTAATTTAATTAATTATAGCTTTTAATTGTTAAACCTATTAATGATTAAATTTATTAACAGTTAAAATTACCTAAGATGATAGTGTATTCGATTAGAATAAGAAAAACATTATCAAACATAGCTGCAGCCCGATAATAGCCAAAATTGAATATAACTCCCAGAATAGCAATGGGCCAACCAATGAAGAAAAATATCGCATTGATCAACCATACCAGCACTAGCCAATGATTTATCTAAAATATCAATTTTTTATGTTTGTTTTTTATGTTTATTTTTTATACTTACCCAAAGAACACCAAAAAGAAGTGCCAAATTTCCAATCAATTCAATAATAAAGCCGATTAATGTCGTACTATAACTTAAATCTGCAAAATATACATAAAACATAAATTTAACATGTAGCCAGAAGTAAATAGATCCATTTTATTAGCATAATTTTATAGAGAGAAAAGAGTTTGTGTCATCTTTTTGAGATGAGATCATTAAATTCTGATGTCGCGACGTAAATAATTTTTAATGTTTGTGGAACAAGTTTAGGCACAAATATTCCAAACAAATACCAAACATTGTACACATCATACTCAGGTAGTGACTATACAAGTGTGTGTATGTGGGTACCACATATTCTGATGATCACACAAGTAAATAAGTAAATATTTTTGCATTTCTTAATAAATTTTGATAAATTTTACGTTTCACTTACATCCCGGATTAAAGATTACACCGAATACTATCGAGACCAGAAAAAATATAGCTATGCTGAGGCAGGCATTTCGTAGGCTTATGTTAAAACAGGCCTTATCTGTGATTAAGTTCATTTTTAAAAATTTCTAGGAATTTTTCTAAACAATTCTTTTAAAATGATTCAGATAAAATTACTTCACTACCCGCTTCTGATAATTACAAGCATATACTAAGCTTTTAAAAAGCAACTAGCAGCAGATGAAATTCATATATGGAGAGATCATTCTTGTGAAATTTATACAGTAGTGGCTAAAAAATAATTCTGGTTTTTGTAAAACTGGCGGTATCACCATATTAAAAATTTTATTAACGTGGTATGATACCATATTAAAATATGTATGTATATATATATCAAAGAATACCTTACAAGAACGACAACTCCATTGTGAACTAAAATTTGTTTTTTCGCACAACAACAACTTGCCGTGGAGCTCTGAAAGTGTTAGTGAAAAGTGTACTAACACCAGCTGAAATCACTAAAATTTTTCACCTTTACATCTCTTTCCGATACTGCAGGTACTTTTGAGAACTGAATATTTCGAAAAGTTTGACACGATGAGTATAAGAAAGAGTTTGATTTCGTTTTTTGGTTTTGATTTTATGAGAGAAATATAAAATTTTATTGCGCCAAATCATACAAAATTTACCGCACAAATACTTAATAAAAAGTACTTAAAATTGGAAGTACATAGCAGCATATTGTAGCAAAAACTATAATAAACTGTGAAAATAAAGTTTAATATTTATATGAAAACATGGGAAACAAATGTGTTAAGGGATGTAAATATTATAAATCACTTTATACCTAAATTCCCAGACAACAATGAGGAACCAAGGTAAACTTTGCATTCAAGTTTTACGTAAATTTGTGTCATAAGCAGGGACCGTAACAGTTATCATAAAAAAAATAAAAATCATCTTATAACTGTTATCATATGCATTTTAAAATAAAACTCAAAAAATAATAATTAAATTTGATTTTTATTATATTCTCAAAAATAATAATTATTATATGCCTTTTATTTTTTTCGCGCAGCAATAACTCTTAAAATTTGCTTCTTATTTTAAAACGCACAAATAACTGGTATACTTGCGTTATATAATATAAAAAGCAAGAGTATCGCGCAAATTCTGCGCGATATTTTTAAAATGAAAATATAAAATGCAATTTTCATACAAGGTAGTTGTTTTTGCAATTCCATAGAAAATGTTTGAAAAGGTTGGTGCAGGTAAAGATTTAGTTTAGATTTTTGTTTTTGTATTTTGCATACAAATTTGTTCTCCTATAAAATACAAAGATAAATACAAAATATGAATCCA